CTCTTGAAATTTAGTTTCCTTTTTATACAATCCTTAATGACACTGTCAGAGAAATAATCTAACGGAAAATGTACAGTCTGCGAAGGATTACCGGTATATATAGTCGCGTGTATCGCGGTCACATCAGTTTTTGATATCCTGGTAGCGATATCACCCGATGAAATCGTTACGAAAAGCTTGTCGTAACGCGGACTTTCTGTTTCGCTTGTCAAGTTTGATATCGTCTCGATCTGAAGGGTCACCACGAAAAGGAATCTGAGTGGATATTCTGATATTTCTGTGATATTTCTTACGACTCAATACGAAAAAATCCTTTACCATTTTTATTAAATTACACAATATAATCGTAATATGTCTCCGGTTGAAAATACTAGAGATATCGTAATATGTAATTTCATTAGCAACGATAAATTTAATGGACAATTTTAAAAGTGGAAAATTTTAGAGATATAACGGAAAGGAATATAGAAAACATATTTCAGAGTAATAAGGATATAATATCAAACCTTGACCGAACTATAAACAGCTTTGCACTTCCATTTGAAGCGATACGTCGATAATGCAATTGTCGTAACAGAACGGTCGCAAATAGAACAGGTGAAATATCAATGACGCGATTATGTCGACAGTTCGAAATAAAAATGTCGAGATCGCGTAACGTTTATCGGTGGCGATTTTAGACACGGGGATAATGCAGAACAGATTGCGGCCGTGCGGTGTACCGTGGCAAAGGCGTTACCGGCCAAGGCAATTCCGCGACACCGGAAACTCGTGGGTCGAGCCACTTCCACCGAAAACTCGTTTATACGACCCTGCTGTGCGGTATGTAGGGCCATCGCTGCGGTTTCCCCGTCGACAGCATGCGATACAAGAGGTGATACACTCTTCCTCCGAGCCACTGAGATAGTCCCGAGGATTGTCCCTCGCGCACGGATTACGCAACAAAAGTGATTCCGCGCAATTCCGCCCGTAATCACAGCCTCGATAATTAACTATTGTACAAAAACCTCGACTTTCTCTCTTAGTACATTATTAGTGTTTTTCACAGGATATTAAATAATCGTTAGAAAGTATATCCTTTCTATTCAAAGTGACAACTAGCTCTGTTTATTTTTATAATAGAACTCAATATTTTTGAAATTGGATAGTGCGGATTCTACCTTTATTCTAGACGTTTTTATTTTTATGATAATTAATTTCATCAATATCATATCAAAATCAATTCGACGGCGAGTACTTTGACCGTACTCCATTTAGCTATCGGGATTTCTTATCCGGATTTACGTTTGAGGGATTATTAGCGGACGCATCGGCTTGTGTAAAATTCAAGATAATGGTACCGTAATGTGCAAATCATATCCGCGCGCGAGTTAATCCTGCTAATAGAATTCCTAATGAAAATCTTAAGCTTCGATGGAATGGAAATCGATCGAAAAATTTAGTTTGCCGGATACGATGCGCTCGAGTCTTTTCCGCCGTGGGCGGAAAAACGCATTTCGAAATACCTGCCACGAAGACTCGAAACTTGCATAAATATCCATCGCGGCGAAGTCTCTCCCGTGGCGCAAAAGCGGAAACGATCTGAACGACGGCTTTACAAATGACACGCTTATGTCAATCGTCCCTAGGTAAAATCGAACAAAAGCAGAAAAATGCGCGAAAAAAGAAGTAACGTCGCCAAACGAGAGGAAGAAAAAGAAGAAAAAAAAGCGGAGACAAATATCCGTTGCTTTTCCGCTGTCTCTCCGACGTGAAGCCGCTGTAATAGAACCAAATAAAAGCGGGAAATAGCGCGACACGCGACGTTTCCCGAATTTATCAAATATTCAAACTCATTTAGAAGTTTCTCCCGGGGCTCGCCCCGGCGAGAGAGAGCGGTCGGCGATGCGGAGCGGCTGGCGCGAGTCGCGATACGGCCTGCCTGTCTGCCTGCCTCCGCTGTCTCCGCTGGAAAATCTCGGCCGGCGGATTCGTTTCAATCTCTATTTCCGCCGCCGTCGCGCAAATTAATTCCGCGCGTCGCGCTCCGCGCTAGCAAAAATCCGAACGGTTTGTCACAGACGCGGCTCTGCCGCGACGAGGCGCGTCGCGGCGCGACGCGGCGCGAAGCGACGCGCGTCCGCCGCTGGCGTAATATCAATTTATGACGTACGCGCGCGCTAACGTCGGCTAATTGTGGCCGCCACCCACTCTATCTCGTCGACCAATATACGTCGCGTGGGCGACCGAGCACCTGCTCGTCGGCCTCACACACGCGCCTCTAAGTTGCGTCAAACTGCGAAGGAACTGCCGTCAACACGCGACTGTCAGCGAGCGGCGACTGTCGCCTTTCTCAATGGACCGTCCGAAAATACGAGCACTATCGCGCGCTTGCACGGCCGCTCCGCATCGCCATTCTACCTCTCGCAACAAAGTACCAATGAGAATGAATCGCGCACCCGCGCGCGTTCGTCATTTAGCATACTCTCGTTACGCACCGCGACGTAACGAGGAAGCGCCGAAATGCCAAATATGCCAACGCGCGGACATAACACAACGCTCCGCAGCGGAAAATACACGCCTGCAAATAAATCGATATTTCTGAAGCTTGAGGAATGTTCGAACGAGAGACGTCGTGTTTTAAAACGTGCCGAGTCGATGTGACTCAAAGTACATTACGGTATAGCGCACGGTAATACGTCGCAACAAATCAAAATGAAAAATAGAAAGCTCCCCGAAAAAAGATATTTCAAATATTTTCGAAATGTAGAACATTATTTTTTTCAACCTTTTGGATTTTTGGAAAGATACGAATAGCCCGGGTACGTGAAATAGCACATTTGTGACATGGCAATAATCGATTTTGAAGGATAAATATAACATTTTACGCTTATTACATCATAGGAAGATTATTCATTATTAAATTCTTTTAACGAGAGAGATTGCCGATATATAATTCGGACGCGAATCAGTCGCGATGAACGATATAATCTTTCGCCGCACTAATGCCGCTAATCGACATTCGGGGATCGATGCGGCATTTAATCGTTATAATGAAAGCGTTACGAAGCTATTCGTCGCACATATATAGTTATAAATAACATTTAAGCGTCTCGTGATATATATATATATATATATATATATATATGTATATATATTTATTTATACATAATATATACACATGCATATATATCCGGATATTACAAATTCACGTACGATTAAACCACGCGCGACTTCTCAACTATTTCGGGATTTTGAATTGCGTTTACAATTCAAGCGTAACGTGATGACATGTAATATTACCCGTTTTACAGTCTCGATGGATAATCAGCAGTCACGTAGGCAGTAGCAACTCATCTCGCGAACGAATACATCGGTCGATTCGCGGTTTTCCTAAGAAAACATTCGCGTTATTATACGGCGCATCGCCACAAAAGTCCCTCTGATTACTATTCTCCTTGTTCGATCTTCATAAGAGTAAGGTCCGCGGATCGGGAACAAAGGGTGCGCTAAAGAGAAAGACCTAGTCGCGGATGTACAGATATACAGACTATCCTCCCCCCCTCCCCTCTCCCTCCCTGTTTTCCCTTCGGCTAGAAAGAACCGCGGAAATATAACGGAAATGTCAGGGAGAAAGGAAACGAATACGCGGAGAGGCGTGCGTATGACGCACGTTGAGTTTTCATCCATTTACGTGTCTGCGGGTACGTGTGTACGGAGAATCGCTATGCTTGCTCTCTTCCTAAAAGAACTTTAATCAAAAACTGGGAAATAGGAGAAACCTACTTTTCATCCCGCCGTCTTCGCTGCCGTGGCTATCCCCCATTCCCGTTCGTGACGGGCGGACGATAATACGGCGTCTGACCTTCCGTGCCAAGATATCTCGAAACGTGTATACAACACAATGCCGCATTGTCTAAGCTATTTTATATTGTGCCCGGCGACGTTCAAATATCATGTCGGATCTCGTCTCGTTCGGCTATGCGAGATGATTTGCGAGGAACGTGCGCGAAACGGATTCCTTGATTAAGATTAAGACGAAATTAATGGAGGAGAAAATTTTCGCGGTTTGAACCCGAGGAGCGCGCAATTAGACGACGAAATTTGGCCCGTAAGTTAGACCCGAGTGGATTCGACTAACATTTTGACTCTTATTTCGGCCATCAAAATATTTAAATGTTAAGACGTTAAATGATCGCGATATATGATGATTAATGATCTCATTCTCGGCGATGCTTCAGAAATGACTCATTAAATGTAAGTTAGATGCTGATTTTGCACATATACAGTTTGCGACCTATTAACTGCGAGAGAATATTCAATCGCGATGAAGATGTAAATGAAAAAATAATTTCAGTTAAGATAATTCAATAAATAGTCGATACTATGTCATCGTAGATGCGAATGTACCTTTTTACAACGTTTATCGTGCACTGTGTATACAATGATCGTAAAACAGTTTGAGACAGGAAGTATAAGTTTACGCATTACCGACATGCAGACATAGCATAAGCCTAATCTATTTGCGATTAAAGCTGAGTTCCCATGCATTAATATCAATTAGTGTATCTTCAATAGCCACGTTATATATTCGGATATATATAAATACGTGTATCTCTAAAATTAATATTATCGAATAAGCAATGATTTACAGCCTCGAGACAACAGGAGTTCCAACAGTTTGATGATAAATTTATCATTCGTCATAATTTTTGTTTATTAAACACTAAACAGTCGGTCGAAGGGATATAATAAACGGGAAGTTAATCCAAGAACGAAAATTATTTATAATTTGTTCTCGGATTTCCAATCATTTATTATTATATTAAACATCGTAATAAATCGTGTTATATAGTAACTCGATATATTATAAGTAGATTAGTTTTACAAAGATGTGAATAAATGGCTAATTTACTGATTTGGAGCATGACGACAAAACAAGTTTTCAATGTTTATAGAAGCAAATGCGATTTCTAACAATTAAAAAAAAAAAATAGAAATATTATGGAAAATATACTTACCAGTTCTCTAGTACACCGACGTTTGAGAAGTTTGGAGGAAAACTCGCGGCCGCCATCGATGGTCGCGACTGATGTCCGTTGATTTTGTCACTTCCGGATCCTCTTCACAGCCTTAACACGTTACTGGATAAAAAACGGATTCAAATTATTATCCGAGAAAAGCTGGGGCACAATTCAAATATATTAATTTTTGACAGATTGTCGAGATTGCCGAAACATTTGTAGCCATTAAAAATAAATATGATAAAAATCAATGGCAGAAATTCTATAATCCCTTAACTTCATTTAAAATAAGAAGACAAGAATGAAGAGAAATTTTATCTGTGAGATATTTTATGACATATGTAACATTTTAGTTTAACCAAAAGTTACTCTTTCGAGAATATTCAATGCAATTACTGTATTTAAATATACATACATGGTCAGGCAAAAAGTTTCACGACTGGCAATGCTGCGCACGTTGCGATAACAGTATTGTTACATTACGTGTGTAATACAATAACTAAGATAGTTCTTTAATATGTACTGTATACTTGAACACTCACAATCGGTTGTGATTCATATTTTCATTGTTTCTCATGCACATGTCAGGACATCATGTTAAACATTAAAATTTTCTTGACTAATGCCTAATTTTTATTTTCATTAATCGATCAGATAAATATAAATTTCACGTATTTTAGCAATCAAGATTTCTCTCATCGTGTTTGAATATCCAATTCTGATTATAAGCATCGTTCTTAATTTTCTTGATCATCTCAAATACGAGGAAATCATTCATTTGCAAGATACGCCTTCTGACTGTGACTGCGTACATGAGAAATGATGAGGATATATTATGAATCATCGAACCTAATAAAACTTTGCACAAATTAAAGAAATGTCTCATCGGATCACATATATGACGCAAGAATGTTATTATTTCAGTATGCATAATATTGCCAATTCCTGTCTTTTGTTCGATCATACATGTATATATGTATACATGTATATATGTCGAGCAAGATGAAATCATCGAGTGAAGTGACTAAAAGCAAAGAGCGGTTTTAAATTCGAATCATTATCGGACGCGACTTCGTTGTAATTGTGATTCGCGAAGCTGCTCTCAGAAGATCTGTGAAGATCCGGCCGCTTTCCTTAAAAGTACCAACCTCTTTTCTACGCTCGTCCCCGCAAATTCTCATATATGTGCGTGATACTGCAGAGCTGTGTCTACGAGGGTTGAAATATACGCGCACGGATAAAGTCCTGCACGCACACCTAGAGACTCGCACCTCGGCCGACTACCCCTTTACTCGCATTACTATCTACCCGCTTTTCGGGTCTCGGTATCGGTAATGAACGATCTATTGTGCTGATGAATGCTCTTTCAGGCAACAAGACGAAGAAAGAGAGAGAGGAAGATATATAAGAGCGGCTAAGAGTGAGTGGCGAGACGAAGGGGGTGAGTGCACGAGAGAGGCATAGAGGAGGTATGAAAACGGCACTCGTTAATGGATTTCCATTCTCCCTGGACTTCTTTATTCTCTCTCTGTACTGTCTCTTCCCTCTTTTTCCCGTCATTCCCTCCCTCCGTGTTCTTTACAGTGCCTTCTTTTGCGCGTTGGTTTTTAACCATCCATAAATAGAAAGAGCTCGCTCCTTACACGTGTAAATCTCGGGGAAACTTCGGCACGGTCGGCTCATTGTTTCGACGTGACATTGTATTTCCGGTTCGCAACATTTGTAAGACAAACGGTTGAACGATTCTTGATACAACGTAGAGCCCGATGTCGGTAATGAAGGAATTACTCGACCGTCTATACCACCCTCTCTGTATAATAACGAGGGGATCATCCCTGGCGCGTGGAAATCTCGTTGAGGCTTTCCGGGGTGATTTCCTGGAGCAAGGGTTAACTCTCGATTACCAGATTAGCAGACTCTACTGTATACAGTACAGTACATGCACACAGAACGAGACGAGGGAACATCAAGTCACAATGAGAAATCTGAATAGAAGGCAGACGAGATTATTTTAGAAATACCAAGAATTTTCAAATGATACTCGGAAACAATTTGGAGTCCAAATTTTCTTCGGCTCTTTTATTTTTTTAGATAAAAAGAGAATCGCGCTCGTAAATACGAAAACTCTTGGCGCGCATCATCATGCTCCATGTCGGAGAACGAGAAGACAAATTCTCATTAATTAGCGAAAATATCCAAGTGCAGGGAGAAAACGCATCGTCGGCGCGGACGATGCGCTCGTCTCCGCGCGCGGCGCGGATTAGAGAATACGACAAAATCCATTGTTGTCGATCGAGCGCTGCCATTGTCCGCCGCTATTGTTTGTCCGCTCGTACGGCGGTGATAAGGGGCACGATTCCGCCGGGCTCGGCGAATGACAGCGACCGAGAGACAACGCCATTATCTCCGCGAAATGCCTGACGGGAAAGAGCGGCTTGCTGCATTGCGCCATCGTTGAAATATTTTCAACGGCAGCATTTCGAGGCATAATTGGCAACGGGAACGAAAGAGACAAGTAGTCATACCATTCGTCGCGCTCATCTCGAAAGCAGTTTGATATTTATTCCCCATAAAGCGCGGGAGCAAAACTGCGTGCGTTTTCTCGCTTTCGAAATCATGAAAGATATCTGTGTGTGTGTGTGTGTGTGTGTGTGTGTGTGTGTGTGTGTGTGTAGTAATAATTAACGGCCAAATTCGAGCAAATGAGGTGGAAATGATGAATGATAGAAAAATTAAATCACATAAAATTTGAATGAAACGTGATTAATTTTCTATCGTTAATTATTTTCTATCTCATTTGCTCGAATTTGATCATTGATTTCTATTTTTCGCTGTGTAAAACACACAAACCTATATTGTTATTGTTTTAGTTTATATACATATAATTTTTTGCTACATTGCGAGAATTTAATATTTCTCGCCAATAATAATTTTCGTTCGCACGACCATCTTTATTTATCAACTTGTACAGTTACTCGTTACTCTCGTTACTCGCCCTCGCCACTCGTCGAAGTTCTGCGGCAAACTTTGCTAACTGGCGAAACTGAATAGCGAACGTATAGCTGGAGCGGACTAATCAACATCGACGGAATCAAAGTGCTATAATTAATCCAGCCGGTGTGCTGTGTGAATAATGAAAATGCCCCTCCCTCCCTCCCTCCCTCGCATCTGTTTGTCTCGAAAAATTGAAGAACTAGTCAAATTCAATCATGTTAATTTCAATTATAGAACGCCAAACGATCGTGATATTTAATCACGTATCGATAGATCGATTTTCGCCCGTAATAATTTTCGTAAATAATTCCACGCTAATGGACAATTCAAAACGACCCGATTTACAAACACGTTTCGCCAATCAACGCCAAACTACTGGCAACAAAAATTATTGTTGGAAATAGTGCGCGGTTGTAATCGACGCCGCGAAAAAGGATACGGTGAGGAAAAAGATGCGCTGTAACACTGACGAAACGCGTGTAGCCAAGTCAAGATGGAATGGCTATTACATGGTGGATCGGTCTCGGCTATAAACGGAAGACGGCGCACGGTTCGCCGGTTCGTCGGCACGGCGCGAACCGCGTCTACTTTCTCTATCTGGTCTGACTAGGAAGTCATAAATCTCCTTTTGCCATTTGCACAACGCGGGGCGCAGGCATTTTATGCAGTGCACTGCGGCAATAAAGCGCGTACGAATGCGATCGAATCGGTGCCAGGATACAGACGACGCGACCGTTTCTCCCGTAATCTCGTATCGCGTGCCTCGAGTTTTCGGCGGGCAACTTTTCGACGGGCAATAAACGGCGAGCGGGATAAGAAGAATCAAGGTTTCCGCCAACGACTTCTGAAATTTATAAACCGACGAAATTTACTGACTTGTTTATTACGTGCGATTTACTCTCTTACTTTTTATCTCGCGTTGGTGGTAATTTGTATTTGCTAGTATTTAATTGTATGCTAGTATTTTATTGAAGTGCTAAAACAATCTCGCCGATTTATGAAGCGAAGTTACGCGCGTAAGATCTCTACAGCTGCGTGAGAAGTTATACGCTCTTCAATCTCTAAATGTCTCTCTCGAAAAATCCCGCGCACGTTTCTTACGGCTGTAAATAACGATCGTTGTTAAAATCCGCTACATTTTACAGGCGGTGCAACTGTTTTACTTTTCTCTGCGAACGCAAAATACTCGCGATACATTATCGAAACGGACGATAAAACTAAATTTTATTTCACGTAACTTTGACATCTCAATCGCGCGGTCTTATGAAATCTTCATGCATCGTAAAAGACGATCGGATGCGCTCGAGCGTATGTCTCGAGTCCACGATTATTTTTCCCATGGCATTTCCATCGTCATCCATCGGCGGGAATCGACGTTCGCGGGTCTCGGAGACCTCGGGCTAGATCGCTCATTGCGCCAAATTGGTATATAGTATATTTGGATTTCATTTTCGTGGCTGTTTGAACGAATAGAGTGCCGCTGCGGTAATCCCGCGGCGACGATCCATCATCGGCGTCGCGAAAGTCAACGACAAACGTTCGGCACGATCGGATATCGTGCCAGAATCGCCGTGGTCGTCGTTGTCACGTGGGCGAACCAGAATGGGCACGGTTTCTCGTTGATCATGGTCCACGTACCGCTCGGCCCGATTAAACGTCGCTCGCGGTTGGAGAGACACGCTCTCTCTCGCCCAAGCTACCCCCTTCCCCTCCGTCCCCTTTTTTCTTTTTATATATTTATGTCTACCCGGTTGTAACGTAGATTTTCTCAGTTTTAATGAGAACTCGAATAATGATATGCGTGCGATTTTTATAAATTAGTCATTACCTAAGAGTAGTTCGAATGTCATAAATTAATCAAATATTTGTTTTAATTAAACAGTATCTACTAATGTAGTATCTACTAATGTTTTAATTAAACAGTATCTACTAATTCGAGATACGTGTTTTACGTGATAGTAAGTCTGGGAAATTTTGAATGTAATATTTTATGTATAATTTGGATAATGTGATATTTTAATATGGAAAATAGATGAAATAATTATATACTAAATAATTACGTAATGTAATTTAGATAATTTGGAAGAGAGATAAAAGTGCATTCAACTGTGTACGTACGTATCGTTCGCAAAGAAGTTTCGGATTATTATTTGTAAATAAATAATGAGATAATCCGAGAGATATCGCAGTTGTGAGTATCGAGGCTAACCGTAACAACGTACCGTAAAAAGCACGTGTAATACTTAAAATTTCAGAAAATGCGAAAAGCCGCAGGAACTTTAATGGATTTCCCGGGTGCGCGCACTTTCGCCTACCGTTTTATCTCCGCAAATTGGGTTAGTCTCCTTGGCCGGCCGTGTTCTCCCGAGTCCCACCTGTCGTCTTCGCGACATCGTCCGTTGCTGTAACGAAGCGGACGTAGCACGACGAAGAAAGAGACCGGACGAAGAAATAGCGGCGGACTGCGCGATCTTTAATCCGCCGCAGTCCCTTAGCTAAATCCAAAGTCTGTTAAAGATGAGCGATTAAGGCGTTTAAACGGACGCTTAAATAAACGTCGAGGAAAAAAACTTTGCCGAGAAACTGCTAACGAGATCTCCTCCGCTAACTGTCTCGTTAGTAATTAACGCGATGTTTGCGCGAGTCCTCCGTAAGTTTCAGATAGAATTCGAAGCGCATCGGTGCACCGCCCTTTGTAGAATTCATCGAATTAATCAGCCTCGTAAGAAATTCGATAGAGCGATAAATTTATTTGACGTTAGGCGACCTTCGTTACTCTCGAAGGAAAAATAGCACGTGAAACGCGAAGCGGCGCTCGCAAAAATAATCGCTTACAGTAATAAAGATTGAAATATTACAGACTTGATTATGTACAAGGGTAAACGCGCAAATAGAGGTAAATAAGAAATTGGCCGACGTCGCGATAAATTTTCCGTCTCGATAACTTGCGTCGCCGTATCATGCATCAAATAGTAGCTCTTAGCCTAAGCGTGGATAATAATTATTAAACGAGCGTCGCGTTTTATATACGCTCGATCGAGAACGACACCGGCTATCGATCGTACTCGCGTCTGCTTTCTATCGGAATGCCTTCGGGACGGCAAATGGTGCCTTTGGATATATCCCCGCGATATTCATGCTCGGATCAAATTCTCTCCGTTTAGGAATACGTTTCTCGAGTTCTCGTTTCAGCGGCATAAAGAAATTGGAACGGATTTATCGCGGCGAGGTATCGTAAACTCACGGGGCCGCGAGGAACGAGTCCCTGGAGAAAAAAATTGGCACAAGCCTGGGCGTTCAAATGCCAGGTCCAACTGGAATCCATGCTTTTGAATGTGCGCCAAACTTCTCCGACCGGTGCACACGCGCCCCTAATTTCGAGAGATTAGAAAAAAAAATTGGTCCACCATCGATTCTCTTATTAGTTCGCGCGAAGATATAAAAAAATCGCGGGCTAGTTCGCCTGGCTAGTTATTTTATTTCGATGTCGACTTTGCCGGTTCGCGATGAATCTTTCTGTTTGGCGGCAAGATAAAGCGTCAACGAAAACTCCGTTCCAAGGTAGGAAACAAGAAGGCAGAAATCGATGACGTAATATTGACACTCTGTAACCTCGTTTCATTTACATTCAATCACGACGGAGAGATGTGACGGATGAGCAAAGGGGCGGAGGGAACACGAGGGGAGAAAAGGGAAATAGAAGGAGATAGAAGGGAACTTCTCTCTCTTCCTCTCTCAAGTCGCAAAAAAAAGATTGTCGTTGTGTCGGCCATTGTCGGTACTCATCGCGGAACAATCGCGATAATGAGAAAGCCACACTGTCTGTTTCACTCTTTCCTCTCTTTTCGCTTCCTATCTGAATTTTTTTCTATCCCCTCCGCGTTTCCACTTTTTCACTCAAGAATCCACCTGCAGACGAGAGACACCGACTCGCTTTCTCGCATCGAACCGACACTTTTGTCCTCGAACCGAAAACAATTTCCATCGTGCGCGTGTGCGTCATTGAAATTTGCAAAAAACTAATACGTATTGTGGAATATACTGTAAATAAGGAAACGCAAAAAAACCTAGAAAAAAAACATAATTGATGCAGAGACGTTTTATTCTAATGCCATGCCATAATTGGAAATGTTCCCGGTTTTCTTATCGAATATTTTTAAAATTCATATATAGAATTATAAGAGACGAAAAAATTATTCGAATCTTGACTACAATTTTAGAACTTTTATATCTCATATTAAAATCCTTCTTGATACGGAATCTGCATGATTGTAATCGTTTCTCACGATAATTATTTATATTCCCAATCCTCTACTAATATTTAATTGACCCTTTACAGTTCTTTATTTTCTACAGAATTATATTTGAAAAATTTTAAAGTTTTACACACACACACACACACACACCCACCACCCCCCCCCCACACACACACACACATTTACATATATACATACATACATACATACATATTATAAATTTGACTATAAGTTTTATATAAAACTCTTCAAATACATAATAATTCTGTAGTAAATAAAGGATCATAAAGAGTCAGTTAAATAGGAGATATACATACATACATACACATATATATATATATATCTCAAGAAGCATAACGTATTCCTAACTGGATAATAAATAACATTTTACACGTATATAAATGCAAAGCAAACAAATTTAATCGCACAAAGCGACGTGAGAAACAAATGCGATTTCACCGATTCCGCGTCACTCGAGCGATTTATTATAGGATTTCGTAATCGTTTTGCCTATCAACGACAATGTCTGAAGTGATTTGTCGTTCCGCATAACGAACCGTAAACTTGGACATTCGATCCGTACGATTTTATGGTGTACGCGGTAAAGTAGAAACGGTGAAACCGGCAATGTAATTGGGATCAACAATTGCCTCAACAATGAAAGTTGACATCGCGTGAGATTGGATTCGGCGCTTTTCTGCGTGAATATACATATCTCTCATAAACAAAATCGCGAGTTTTTAGTTTCCCTCTTGTTTCACACTTCACGCTTTACAAAGTACGTCTTTTAACGAAAGACGATAAACATCCAGACAAAAAAAAAGAACAGTGAACGAAGATTTGCATGTGCGAAGGTAAATTTACGCGTGGGTCACATTAAATAAACCTCACGAACTCTTCCATCATTGAGTAAATCGAGTCTCGAAATTCTTTAAAGAAAAACTCTCCATACCAGTAAACGATCCTCTCAGGCTGGCCGGCCAACAACGAGCGATAAGGTAGCGAGAAACTTCAACTAGCTCGCATTAATTCCTTCGGCAAGAATAATGACGTTTATACATCAATTGTCGTCGACCACTGTAATCGCGATTCCGTGTTCCTTCCCGTTTTCTTTTCCCTCGAAGGACGTTAGGAATTTACGATGTATAAACGACGCTCGATTCGCACTTGGAGAGTCCCTCGGAACTCGACCTTTGCAAGACGGCCCGCGCGCCACTCAACCGCTTTGAGAAATACTCTTCTTATCCCACTTGACGTTCCGCCAGAAATACACGCGCCGTCCGTCGTCGCTGCACGCGCGTGACTCTACGCGCGAATGCGGCGAGCGAGCGAGAGATGGGGAAAGAGAGAGGCGATTGAGCACGATAAATCCATCAAAATTTTATGGTAGTCGTTGTGTGTCTTTCCATCGCCGTGTATGCATGCGCCCAATCGATCGCGTTTAAAATTCACACGTTACTCTTCGCAGTAAATAATCGAGCGCGAAAATAGCCCCGGGCGATTGATCGAACTTTCAACGTGAAAAAAAATACTTTCGTCATGGAGTCTTGGAATACGAAAAGTGGAAAGTTTCGCCGGTTACACCCTAGTTTAGACGGAAAGATAAGGAATCTTCGGATGTTGGTCTTGATGGTGACAGCTAGCTGGCTAGAGATGGAAAACGGCTCTGCACAGTAGCATCAAGAAGCAAAGGAGAAGAGGGAGACGAAGAGAAAGGTTCATGTCGCCGTGATGGTACGGATTTAGACAACATCTGGTCCAGTCTGTTCGCCGTTCGGCGGCAAAGCATCACCGATCGGATTCGAAATACTATCATCCCTGCTTTATGTATCTATGCGCGATTGCGTCGCGGTCGTGTGTGTGTGTGTGTGTGTGTGTGTGTGTGTGTGTGTCCGTGTATATACCGATTCGGAGTAAGACACGTCCTATCTCAACAGACGACGCAATTCTCTTAATCGAAAACGCAGAATAGCACGCCTGCTCTCCGAATGTACCTTGCGGCAGGAAATTGAAATTCCCGATCCTTTAGACCCTTCGCGAAGGTACGCTTTTCCCGGCTCTCTCGAATAAAACTGCTCTTTGCGTCGGTACGTTACGTGCGCGCACACGTTTGTTTCGTCCGTTAAACATCTCGTTGCTACAAATGCGAGGCGGCACGTCGTAACGTTGTTGAAAATTGCAAACTTAAATCTCTCCTCGAAAATCTATATGCGCACGCAGAATATGCGGGGTACATTGTGCGTACACTTATATTATGTACCTACATGGAGACGCGATGTTAGGACAACGCGATCGGTGGCGATTCCCGGAGCGTTGTCGGGATGCATCAGCACAATCGGGATTGCATCCGGGTTACCATCTCTCTGTGTGCGTTGTACGCGCTGCATGCTTCCCCCTGTGATCCTCAGTTACGTCGATCAGTATCCGCGATTTGCCGTATGCATTCCTGAGGAAATCACACGCTCTCCTTTTATCTCTCCCTCACTTCGTCCCGTCGTTTTTTCCTCTTTCGTCCACCCCCCCCCCCTCCCCGCGCAGTTCGCGCTCGATTTTATATTCCCGCTTTACGTTGCTTTCGCTTACGTTGCTCGCGACTCGATGCGAGAGTCAGATTAACGATCTACATAATCGTTGCACGTGGGAACTTCGTTAACCTATCGATCGGGGGGGACACGTGGTTGTCTCGACGGTGCGACAAAAAAAAACGCGAACGACTTGGCACATCGTGGTTAAAGCGGAAATTCGTTAGCGCGCCTGAGTGGAAAACTAATTTCTGTATTCATAGATTTTTCATAAATTATGCGTATTATGAGAAACACGTAATTTCATATCGGACCGGAAGGTGACTGACCCGATAGAAGACGCGCGTTTAACCCTTAGATTTCTAATCTAATTACATCAAATTACATTAGCCGAGTTTCCGAGACGAGATACATTTCGGAATATCTAGCAAGATTAATTAAATAAATAGCAGATAATTAATATCCAAATTATTGCGAAGCGAGTATAAATATAAATAGAATCTCGACCTCGTATTTCGGTCTGTTAATTACGCTTGAAATATAAAGCAAGGTATAAAGCGAGGTGCAGCAATCTTTATTTAAACTCTGAAATACAAGCAGAGAAACATATAAATATGCTACGGTGGCGTCTTGAGCGTCCTATATTCTTGGCATCCTCGATATGAAAATTCTCGTTAGAGAGAAATTTAAGGGTTAAACGCGAGTACGTATAATTCACACAGTCTCGCGACTCGCGGTATGGCGTGGCGTCGCGTCGCATCTGCCAGAACGTTTCGTGTGTCTGCCCCACGGGTTATCGATTTTGGCTCACGCACGTATACCGAATCTTCCGATATCCCACCCGATATATTCCCGGTCGGAAAAGGGTCGCGAGAATCCGCCGTCGCGGCTTGCGGTTTAAATCGCCCCCCATGTCGTCAGGAGAGGGGAGAGAGTCATGGGACTATCACGGCGAATACTACTCCGAATATTCGTGAACTATCGCCGATGGTGAGAGAGACATTACGAAATATCACGCATGAGAAAATCGCGGTATCGACGCGAGTTAAGCGACAAAGCGCGGCGCGACGTTTTATTCATTCGACTATGTCTTCCACCCTGCTCAATCGCGCGAGCCGACGGGGAGAGAGAGAGAGAGAGAGAGAGAGAGA